CAGACTTTTTTGCGTGAATAAATACAGACGTTTCTCTCCAAAACAAGGTGTGTGAATGAATGTTAAAAAGGAAAAAGGGGCCTTATGGCAAACATTGCAAATCTCTATTGTTCACGGCACTGCCTTCATTTGGGCTGTTAATTTTTTCATCTTCAATATTTGAAATTTAATTCATCTACAATATTTTTATTTTTTTTATGATATTTTATGTCATTGACCTGGAAAAAGGAAATTATTACAGAGATGCGTATATAGAAATGACGGTTAAAAAAACTGGATTAATCTCAACCCAATTTATTTAATTTTATAAAATTCGCGATGCCTCTTTCGGTCAGGCTCTCTCTTTTGGGCTACAACCCGAAATGACAAAGACTAATTTGTTGTTTCATTTTTCTAAGTATTTTTATACAAGTCAAAATAAAATTTTTCTCATATATTTACTAATTATTTTTAAAATCATGGTTTAATTTTCACCTAACTACCTTATTGAACTCTTAAAACCTAAATATATTGAATGTCCAAAATAACCTAGTTATTGGAATGATGGCCTTATTGTTGGTTTAGTCCTTTATTTATTTTTTTTTTTAATGGGCAAGATGAACTTGCTAAAGATAAATCAGTACAACACAACAACTACATTTAGACCCTATCTAAACGTAGGTGATCAAAACATCTAGGATGGGGTTCGTTTAAAATCTTCATGTCCTCCACGATATGATGTGCTTCTCTTGCCAGAAAATCTGCACACTGTATGGACTCTCTAGGTGCATATTTAAGTTCAATTTCCCATTTAGAGAATATCAGCCTCCTTCCTTCTATGATCTCTGTTCTAAAAAGATGGTGTCCTCCACTGTCTGTCATGAGTAGGTGGATAGCCTCAAGTGAGTCAGTATAGACCAACACTTTGTCAAAACCTTGTTGTTTACAGATTTGAAGTCCAGTGATAATCCCAAGTAGTTCTGTTGTGGTTGAGGGAACACGTCCAAGTCATTTCTGAAAACCTGCAATCCAATTACCGTTCTCATCTCTTATGGTTCCACCGCATGTAGCTTGCCGTAGATTATTCACCGAGCCATCTGTGTCGAGTCAAAACACTCCCGTTGGCGGAGGTGACCATCGCGATTGCTGCTGGTTGAGTTGGAAGATTTGGTGTTTGAACTTCCCTTGATTAGTGTATTCCATTAGTAAGTAGCGGCAAGTGTTAAGAATGTCCTGTGCTGAAGATCTGTGCCCCTCCATTACTCCTCTGCATATATTCTTCCACAGGATCCAACAAACTGTGCTAAAAGTTTTGGCCCAGGGCCAACGGGCAAATTGGTGCTTTCCCAGCTCTTGTGAGAGGTTTCTCCTTAGCCAGACCTGCAAATTCAAACAAGAATAAAAGTTTTCCAGATGGTTAGGTTTAATAATTCTATTCCATATATCTCTCGCTATCTCACAGTCACGCAGGATATGCAAAGTGTTTTCCTCTCTTTGACACTCAAAAGGGCACTCAACACTCGTGTTTATCCCTATGCTGGCTCTAAGAAGGTTGGTTGGTAATCTCTCATGAAACGCCTGCCAAAGAAACATTTTCATTTTCTCCGGGACCGGAAGTTTCCACAATCTTTTCCACCAGATGCCTTGACTTTGGTCGTGTTGGTGATTTATCATTCGATATGCAGACTTGACACTGAAGTTCCCATCATTACTACATCTCCAGATGATTTCATCATCTGAGTTACCACTAGGGGGCTTAGCATTCCATAGTATGTTGATGACCCACTTTGGAAAGAAAACCTCCCAGCACTGTACGTTCCATGACCCATTGCTTCCAACAAAATCTTTAACTCGTGCACTAGGATTTATTAAATGGAAGTTTCTCTCGGCCAAATGGATGAGAGGTTCCTCCAACGATGACCATTTCTCCCACCAAAATAAAGTGTTGTTTCCACTATTTATATGCTTCCCAAGCCTTGCATAGAATTGATCCCCCACAGATGTAATACTGTGCCATATTATGGAGGAGTTTGGTTTTTTGATCACTACTGGGTAGTCACCGTCTCCACACCCATATTTCTTTTTGAGGCATTGAACCCATAGAGCATCTGGCTTTGTCATGATTCCCCAGCATAATTTCATGATGAAAGCAATGTTTTGGTATCTTAGGTCTTTTATACCCAGTCCCCTCATTTCTTTCTCCTATTTAATTTTCTCCCATGAAATCAGATGCATTTTCCTTCCCTCATGGAATTGATTCCATAGGAAATTCCGACTACATTTCTCTATCTCCTTTAGGATTCCTATAGGAAGCAACATGGTTTGCATTTGGCAGCTCGGTAGCGCTGAGATTACCGATTTGATTAGAATGGATCTACCAGCCATCGTCAGAAAATTTGCCTTCCAACCTACTAATCTCTTTTGAACCTTGTGTATGATTGGGAGATGTATAGCCTTCATTAGTCTTTTATGTAACAAAGGAATTCCAAGGTACTTCCCCAAGTCACTAGTTATACCAATGCCTAGTTGTTGGCTCAATTCTCTTGCCCGGTGGAAACTTACATTTTTTGAGAAAAAAGCCTTTGACTTGGCTAAGTTAATTCGGTGACCTGAAGTATCACAAAGGTCTGCATTATATCGCGCATCACACTTATCTGATCACTTGAGGCTTCTCCAAACAAAAACAAGTCATCTGCAAAGAATAGATGAGAAATGGTTGGTCCTGAATTACTCAATTTTATCCCTTCCCAGTTCCCCTGTTCCACTTCTCTTGAGATCACTTGCCCCAATCGCTCTATGCATAAAACAAACAGATAAGGACTGAGAGGATCACCTTGCCTTACTCCTCTTGTTGGTTTGAACGAGTGTGAGGTCACTCCGTTCCACACGACTTTCATAGAGGCTAAAGAAGTGCAAGCCATGATAAGGTTAACCATGCCCTCTTTGAGACCTAAGGTAAGTAAAGTTTTTCCTCAAAAAACTCCAATCCAGGCAGTCATAGGCTTTTTCTATGTCGACTTTAATGGCCACAAAACCTTTCCTTCTTTTCTTATTCCTCATAATATGGATTGCTTTCTGGGCTATGATCACATTGTTACTCCCTTGTTCCAACTATAAAACTGCATTGTTGGGGCTGCACAAGGTAACCCATCACTCGTTTGAGCCTATTTGCAATGATTTTGGTTATAATCTTGAAGCTTGCATTGCATGATGATATCAGTCTCAAATCTGTTAGTTTTTCAGGATTGTCCACTTTGGGAATGAGAACAATATGTGTTTTGTTGATTTCACCAATTTTTGTTGGATTCTCCCAAGCCTCCTTAATAAACCTGCATATTTTAGTCCTTTAGTTAATTCTTGTTGGGCAAATGCTACAGAAGCAGAAATTTTCACGCAGCGAAATTATATAAATTATATTTCTCTCTTCATTAATGTAGAGTACAAGTAGCATCCCTTGACATGAATGGATGCCAGATTTTTAATTTTTAAGTAAAGCCCAATTAAGTTTCAGCTCAAGGAAAAAATGGAAAGAGAAATGATTAAATTTGGCTACAATTCTTCATATTTTCTTATTTTTAATTAAAAATTTTTAAAGCTAAATTATATAGAACTTCTTGAACTGGGTTATATTTAAATAGTCTCTGATATTTAAAGTTTTACAATGAATTTTCTTGAATTATGAAATTGTGCAAGTACTAGTAACTACTTTACACTTAATCAGTTTGTTATTGTACCAGTGAAACATGAAAAAGGGACACATCCATTATCGAGTCAGAGGAGATAGGCCAGAATTTTTTTGCCCAAAATAGAATTAATTTGTATGATTACTGTCTTGTTTGGTTAAGCGGTGAGCTTGTTTGAAATCAAATAAGTAATTATATAATCTATGTATATTATTTGGCTGAATTTTTTGAAATCTTGGTAAATCGTAATTTTAATCCCAATCGCGCATTTGAACATAATTTATCATAGCTTTTGCATTAGAAAATCCCAATTGAGGTTTACTACGAAAATTTCTTCCATATACCCTTATTAGTAATTATTATTAAATTAAAATCATATTTAAATAATAAATACTTATGAAAATTATATTAAATTATATTTCTCTTACCTACAACTATTGCTTTTTGATAATTAGATGTCTATAAGTGATTTTAATAAATGAAATTCAAATATAATCTACATTTTTCAAATCACTTATAAAAAAATATCCAGACAAAAATCTTAATTAACAATGTCACTTTTAATTAATGTCACTTATAAAAATCATAATTTAAAAATTATCATTATCTAAAATCATAGTTATTCACTGTTAATCTGAACGGTTGGGATTTGGGAATCAATAGACGCCTTAATTTTTCAACGAGTAACATTAAACAATTTCGGGAAAGTTTTGTACAACTTAACCAATTTTCAATTAAAAAATCACATTTTTGTCACGGTATGAAAATAATCTATTATTATATTTTTATTGTGCGTCTTAATTCAAAACACCCAGTGAGTACTTTATCTTGAAAATGAAACTTAAACGGACCCATTGTTCATCGGAGGCAGGATTGTTTTTTCAACCCGATACAACCTTTTTCCCTTTGAAGCCCATTTGATTCTTTCTGAGACCATATGCAAATTAGTGGACCCGCTAGTTACGCATAGCCCTTACCATGCTGTACACATGGAATTCGATTGCCATTGAAAAATCACAATTTATAATTTGTCACCGGAAAAAATATATTCATAAAAATAATTATCACCACTCAAATTTAAATAAAGTCCTTTTATGTAATTTCACATAACCATCACACTATCACATTAACCAAATCAATTAAAATTATTAATATCACCAAACCTACAGATTTATTCCTCGGTTATTTTAGGAAGATTCAAACTTTAATTTCCGATCTACCCCCTTATCCCATCATCATTATTTGAATCAGACTCAGCCAAAATCTATGGGATTCTATTCCAATATTTTCCCCTCCAGTTTTTTCACCGCGCAAAATCTGGAGTCAAGTGGACTAACTATCAGACAACTCAAATAAGCATATTCCTAAAGGCTCATTCAAGTACATTCGTGAAGCTATAATAAAATGGATCTTTCTTAACGGAAAGGGGTTTGGGATTTCAGAATTCCATGAAGATATTTTTGTATTTTTAGCCAAAGAGAGAGATGATAATATCGAGTGGGACCCCGAGTGACTATGACCGTGCAAGACATTTCCCAAAACTGGAGGCCAATTGCGGCCACAGAATATTTCATTTTGTCAATAACAGGAAAGAGAGAAGGAAAAAAAGCAGCAGCAGCAGCAGCAGCTGAAGATGAGGGAAGAGAAGGCTGTAATTAAATAAGATAATAACAAATATGGATGAATGGAATGAAATATGAAATGTGATCTAGTTATATCACAAATTACCTCTATTTACATGATTCTGACTCATCAGCCACAAAATAACAGTATCTGACCGAGCCCTATCTTTCCCCTTCCGTAAACTTTCGCTGCTGGTGTTGAAATGTGAATGTTCAACAACACAACCTAAGAAAAAGCATGACTTGCTCTGCTCATTGCAACGTGATTCACTTCTTTCTGGGGTCAGTGTTGCTTGCACAAGTCACTGAACTTAAGGGGCAGCCTCCGTAAATGCACTTCCCATTATGTGTGCTTCGTTTTATAAAATTACTAGCTTGAGAACACCTAATGACAACAAATATTCTTTTTCTTGAAAAGGAAGAGAGAGAAGAAGAAGCACAACTTTCATGTTACTTGAATGCAAATTCAGTTCTTAGTACCAGCTTGAATCAAAATAAGTTTTTTTACAACTCAACACAAAATGACTGGAATATTAAGTATTTTTACTTAATCTTTGTCCTTTTTCCCCAAAAGATTTTTCCCACTTCCCTTCCAAGCATGTGTTCAGTTATGCAGCAAGCCAGCCAACTGCACAGGGAAATAACAAAGCACAGGGAACGATACATACCATATCCCAGATGCATCACGTGATGGACATATCTCCGGGAAAATAATCTCCGAACCGTGTCCTCTCCTTGAACAAACGTTTTTAGAATTTGTCTGCTCATGACATAATCTGTTCTGATGCAAAGCTTTCCTTTTCCTTCTCATTCGAAATAAAAAGTCTTCTGTATCTAAAACGTATGAAACCTAAAAACATATAACGTGTTCCAAGAACAAAAAGAGAAGCGGCAATTCAGTAACACAACTAAACAGGCATCAACTCTAATCAGCTGCAGTATATAAGCAAAAAGTGCAAAAGCAAAACCACAGGCAGAGGAGTACATGCATACATTTACAGAATATGCAGAAACAAATGTTCTTTTAAATTACCTTAGATGAACTGCAAGCTATCTTGCACTCCAGACCATTAATAACTTGCAATCCTTCCATGGCCTGACTTGAAAGTTCATCACCACAGGCATATTTGCGTTTATTCCTGCAAAAACAAATAGGTGCAAATTTTACCCACAAGCTTCAACATGCAACTGCACCTCCAATTTTCCTCCCTTAATAGATACCTCTTCAAGAAAATTCCTGACTTCTTTTTTCGGGAAAAACAGAAAGGAAGTCATTGTGCAAATAGGCTGAGAAGTTAGGGTCCATAGACACAGCAGTTGCCTCAGGTTTATCATGTCCATAGTCCATCAACTGAATAGATAATCGTGTTGGTGTAGATGACTGTATGAACAAAGAATAATGGAAAGTAAAACTTCTAGCAATATTTACATAAACTTCCACTCAAAGAAAGCTGGTTCAGGAAGACATAGGAAAAAAAATAGAAACTTACACATTCAATACGGTATATGATCTCATCATGAAGAAGAACTCGAGCATTTTCATAATAAACTATATCAAAAAATCTTCCAGATTTTCTTGATTTCTCGTATGAATGAATGAGGAAAGCTTGTTATCCATCTCATCCGTAGCAACTGCTTGCAGCTGAAATAAATAAAGTCACCTTTTAGAAACAGAAAGAAAATGAACTGGCAACGAATGGATTAAGATAAAGGCAAGCTTGCACACTTGACCTGTTTAACAAGCTTATATATCAACTTGTCTAATGTAAATAGCACATATGACTGAGTTCCAATAATAGCTCGGCAGTCATCCTCAAACTTTGTGTTGTCAGAAGAACCATCCAGTAGGTTATAAAGGCAGTCATGAATCTGTAGCGCAAATGAGGACCTCAGGCTTACATAGGTATCCTAACTATTTTCAAATTTGGGACAGAATCCAGCATTCATAGGAGTTATTACCTGCCATATTGATCATTAGAGTTTGCATCATTTGAAGCCCTCCACTTCCTATCCGCAGATGATGAGTTCAACTTTGCTGATTGTATCCTCTCATACAATGTCTGTCAGATTAGGAAAAAAAAATTAAGAGATTGCATCATACGACACATGTTGTAGAAAGAGAGAGTGTGGTCCTTACTCGGTGAAGCCTAAAAAGCACATAAAGGAATCATTTCCATAAAAAACTCTAGAACCCTCTCTTTCTCATGCACCATAGGGGGAACATGCTTTGCCAGAGGCTTTACAGATAGCAAAAAGCGTTCCGAAAATGGCAATGAGATTCCATCACCTTCCACGTCATTGGCATCAGCCATTCCTTCAGCTTCACCCTCACTCTCAACCTTGTTATCATGTTCCTCATCCTCCTCATGCTCTTCTTGATAACACTCCTCACCATCAGCAGACTCACTTCCCGAAACATGACCATTTTCAGAAGCATTCTCACTGTCCTGTGATGACCTATGAGGACTTCCTTCACCTTCATCAACATCAGCATCATTTTCTCCTGCTGCCTCACCACAACCTTCTTCACATTTATTTTGGTATTGCATACTCACATCACCATTCTTCCTTTATGCCCTACTGCTGTTAAACTAGTATCTCCATATACTGCAAAGTTATCCTCAAAATCTCCATTAGGAGATAGTTCACCCTCTTCTCTTTCACTTTTGAAGTGTCCAGTAGATTCTTCTTGGTATCTGTGAACTTTGTTGCCTTCTGTGATGGCCCCATTTATAGGTGTAGCTGGTCTTGTAGAATCGCCAACCTGAGTCATGATTAACAAATGTTCAGTATCTTACTGCAGATGATGCCAAGTACAATGATATATCCAGGTGATACACTAACAAAATCATTGAAGGAGCGGGAAAAAAAATAGTCTTGAAAAAGCATTAGCATTTTGACATGCTCAGTACTCAACCATATTAAACAAGTTTATGATCCTTCCCCTTGCATGCAGGTTCAAATGCGCCTTGACATTTTGGGTGAAAATTTAAAACTAAAAGGTTTGGGAAGAACGTGCCCACTTTAAGTACCACAGGATTCACTTGTGGCTACACAATGTGGTATTCCGTCATAGCATCGTCTTTGAAGAGCTGACATCCTCAACAGCTTCCCTCTGGCACTCAGTTCAGCCACAAAGTTTTACTCTCTGCAGGTAGCTCTTTTCATGAAGACTAGTTCAATTCTCTCTTTCTTTTCTTTTCTTTGTCCCCCCCCCCCCCCCAAAAAAAAAAGTAAGGCCAGTCAATTCTTATACCAACAGATAGAGTGGTAAGCGAATATGGGAAACTGACCCTTGAAAACTTGTAAGGGGGAAAACTATGCCACTTAAGTAGCACATGAATTACTTGTCGCCACCTAATGTGGGCTATTAAATTCAAAATATGAGTTAAAATATAACAACTCAAATTACTGAGTCAATTGACTTCAATTGCTATGATACTGCAGGGCATAATGCAATCATAAGTGGCGCATAAAGAGGTAATGCATGAACTCATGCATAAAAACGATCCTTTCACCCCAAAATTCACAAGAAATATATTTCTCTCCACCATATGCTAAGCACGATTAAGTTAAAACCTGACAATATTCAATTCAACTTGAAATGAAACATACAGGAATTTTTCAAAGAGTTAAGCCATACCTCTGTTGAAGGAAAATGTCCTCCCTCAGCTGCAACATTACCAGGTCTCGATGGAGTAGCAGTAAGCCCTTGCTTGCCGCCGCGGGGGGGGGGGGGAAGAAAAGAAAAGATGGATCTCAGGCCCATTCATTCTCAGAATGCTACAGTTGAAAATCAAAAGGGAACCCGATAATAAAGGCCTTGTTTGTTTTTGTTCTCAAAAAAAAAAAAACCTTGTTGGGTAACTTGTTTTTAATTAAGTGTTCAAAAAAAAAATCTGTTTTTAAAAACTAAAAAACCAAAACAATTTTTAGTTGTTTTCTTGTTTTTGTTTTTGCATTTCTTATTTTTATTTGGAAAAATTGTGAAACTCTTTCTTTTGCGCTCGATGGCTTTTTTCCCATTTGAGGATTTGAGTTCTCATCAAAGCTTCAACCTCCGGTCTTAGTATGTTTATTTTCAAATTTAATTTTTCTGAACAATTATCCAAACAGATTGTTTTGTTTTTTTGTTTCCAAAACTCGTTTTATAGAAAATTTTACAAAATTTTTTTGAGAACCAAAAAAAAAAAAAAACCAAAAACAGAAACAAACAGGCCCAAAGTTTCTAAAAAAAGGGTAGAGTAACTAAGAAGTAATGCTAACTTTCTTAATGCAAGTTACCAACCTGATGCATTATCTATATTTGTTCTCCCATTACTTTGCTCCATTCCAGAAGCCATCGAGGCATTCACATTTGCTAACCGCTCGTTGGAATGACCTTGTTTGTTGGCGACTGATACCTCATCATGCATGGATGAATTTACATGCGTTGCCTCATGACGTTTACTGTAGTCCAAAGTTTCAGTCTTGGAATTCGACTTTTCTAATGAAATACTTTCATCCATCCCCATCCAGATGTATTTAATTGTCTTTTTTTCATTACACATTTGCAACTACAACAGGACTACTATCACTGCCAC